CCAGGGGGGATGGCCACACCACAGTCCCTTCTCCATTCTCCTCTCGGGATCTTGGGCACGCACGCACACGTGCCCGGCGTGAGTTTAAGCCACCAGGTCTGGGACTCGAACTGCAGTCGACTACATGGGAGTCCAGCGACATAGCCATTATGCTAACTGCTGGTCCCCCCTTTGGGTTTTTAAAGTTTATTTTACATTTGTTTTTTTAAGAGATTTTTGCTATAGAGCACATGCTCTTGCTGGAAAGACAGAGAGAAACAGAGAGACAGAAAGCACAAAATCATCCCCCAAGGTACATGCTGCAATTCCTTCTCCTCCAGTCTCCTCTTGGAATTTGGGGCATGTACACACACGCAGCTGGTGTGAGTTTCAAGTCACTGGGTCCGAGTCTTGTACCATGGTTGACCATGTGAGAGTCTGGTGATGTAACCATTACGCCATCTGCTGGTCCCAATTTTACTTTTTTTTTTTGCTAGAGGGTGCATACGCTCGCCAGACACAGAGAGACAGAGAGACAGAAAGTGAACCACCCCCCCAGGGGGGATGGCCATGCCGCAATCCCTTCTCCTCCATTCTCTCTGGGTCTTGGGCACGCATGCACATGCGCCCGGCATGAGTTTAAGCCACCGGGTCCGGGACTCGAATCGCAGTCGACTACGTGGGAGTCCAGCGACATAGCCATTACGCTAACTGCTGGTCCCTACATATTCTTTAAGAGCAAGACAGGTACTCCTAACAAAGCCTTACCACATTGTAGTCGCCCCTCAGCCTTTTAGCCAGCCAGGATTATGATTGCTCTTGATGTGCTTAAGTTGACCTAGGATTTTATTATTTTTAAAATTTGCTATAGGGCATGTGCACTCACCGGAAACAGAAAGAGAGAGGGAAAGTGAGAAATCAAGCTCTGGGGGGATGGCTACACTGTAGTCCATTCTCCTCTAGCCTCCCCTTGGAATTTTGTGCATATATGCTCATGTACTTGGCGTGATTTCCAAGCCACTGG